GAATGGTCATGCTTCACATAATCACTGGGTTATTCAACGGCTTCACCTTCTGGAACCTCGGAAACAGCCAGATCGACATGCAATCCCGACTCTTCTCCATCTTCATGACCCTGACTATCGCACCTCCTCTGATCCAGCAACTGCAGCCCCGCTTCCTTAGCGTGCGCGGCATCTACGAGTCTCGCGAAGGTAGTGCTAAGATCTACTCTTGGACTGCTATGGTCTGGGGCACTATACTCAGCGAACTGCCTTATCGAATTGTTGCAGGCACTATCTACTGGTGCTGTTGGTATTTCCCGCCTGGCTTCCCTCGCGATACGTACACTGCGGCGAGTGTATGGCTCTTCGTTATGCTGTTTGAAGTCTTCTATCTTGGATTCGGGCAGGCTATTGCGTCTTTCTCTCCCAACGAGCTGCTCGCGTCGCTGCTTGTGCCGCTGTTCTTCACGTTCATCGTATCCTTTTGCGGTGTGGTTGTACCGTACAACGGACTACCTTCGTTTTGGTAAGTAATCTCTACTAATTGACGCGAGACGTTTACTAACTACGAGCGCAGGCAAAGCTGGATGTATTGGCTCACTCCATTCAAGTACCTGCTCGAAGGATTTCTCGCGCTACTTGTTCAAGGCCAAACCATCCGATGCGAGACTAAAGAGTTGGCGATCTTCCCACCCCCACCTGGCCAAGACTGTCAGACATACGCCGGCCAATTCGCGCAGCAAGCAGGGGGCTACGTCGAAGCCCAGCCGGACGGGAACTGTGGGTTCTGTCAGTACGCAACTGGAGAAGCCTTCCTGGCATCCTTTAACGTCTTCCCACGGTACATATGGCGTGACTTCGGCATTATGTGGGCTTATATCTTCTTCAACTTTTCCGTCGTCTTCATCTGCACCTGGCTGTATCTGGGCGGCCTACGCCAGATCAAATCGTTCTTCAGCCCGGCCGCGCGCAAACAGAAGAAAGAGACGAAAAAGAAGCAGAGCGGCGATGCAGCTTGATACAGAGATTTCAAAGATACCAGACACTCGGCACAGCGTGCAGCGACATGCTTCGACGTCGACTGCGAAGATGCGGGTTCCGGAAAACTCCTAGCCTGCCCGCGGCCGGAACGCGCAAGGCTGGGAGACGCAGCTTTGGAACGGCCCATCCCAGCGCAGGGTGGGGCTCATTTCCGCCTCGTGCATTCCCCGCGAAATGCCTCTTGGGGATCTAGAGCATGTGCTAGAGTTTCTCTGTACGTACAGGCTGGGTCCTAGCGTCCACCATAGTCACTCGTATAGCCAGCGGTGTAGCATTAATAGTAATTTTGACAGCGCAGCTGTCATGTGTACAAACTGCAGTAGCTTCCATTCCGCATTTGACGTGTGAGTTATCATGGATGTGCTGGTCTCTGTCATTGCTGTCGAACCATGCGCGATTAACAACACCGCACGCACACGATGCTCGGCACTTTGACACATGCAAACCCAATCTTGCAGGTATCGGGTTAACAAGGCATCGTGAGAAGCATCGAAATGCCTCAGCTTTTCCGATGGGCAGCGCCGCCCGTCCGAGGCCCTTGATTTGTGCATCATGGAATCGAGGACTAAGCCGAACGGCGTTCCATCATAGTGCAGGGGTCTGTGTGGATCGCAAACTGCACACGAGCTGGAACCGGAACTGTGGTATCTTGCACCGCCTCCTGTGGCCGAGCTATGCTGTCGACTATTGATTATCGCGATGCGCAATATTGACGCGCATGTACGGATTTGGGCGTGATGCATTTCGTACTGTTCGTTCAAGACCACTCTAGCCACCCTCCTAAATCATACCGAGGTCTACAATCGATAGCACAGCGTCTCCGGCGAAAAATAGGCCAAGAGTCGTTATAGCCGAAATGTTCGTGATGTAGCCCAATGAAACAATGACGAAAGGTCGTTGAGCCTTTACCGCTTGCAGCGAGCGTGAATGTGGGGTAAGTGTGATCAGCCCCTCCAGCCAATACCGACGCGCGCATTGCCGTTCACGCAGCTGTTACAATCGTCACGAGGGCTCCGCTACAGCGAAAAGTCGTCGACCATGACACAACCGTGACCGCAGACCTCATCTTAGTGCTAGTTAGAGAAGAATAGAATTTCCACTTCCATGCGCGTCGGCCTAAGCTTTGCCAGCCATAAAGCTGGATGTCGTGGTTACACTTGCCGGGCGCTCCTTCCGAAGTCACCCAGCCCTCGTGCCCAGCTCCGCGTTATTTTCGTCCCTCGTGAGCCGACCGGCACTCCCACTACCCAAACACGCACCATTACCCAATCAGCGACAGTAGCGCTAGCTTGTCCCCGGCCCAGCAGTGCCAGCCTGAGCGCAGACGACGTCGTCAGAATGGCTTCGAGTGGTATTAAAGCTGCCTCGGACCCCGTTGTTAGAACTGCATCTCCAGCTCCTTTGGCCCAAGACTTTGCCCGTCAACAGGTGTCAAAACAACAGCGTTCTAATTTCCATTCCTCTTCCATATCTCCACTCATATCCAACACCATGGTTTCTCAAAGTGTCAACAAGACCAATCTCCACCCTTCCGGCGTTGCGTGAGTGCCCTCCTGTCTCAGACTTGCCTGAGGTCAATTGAATTGGGCCAAGTGACAATGACTGACAACCATCTTATAGGCCGAACAAGGAACACACGGAGATTGAAGAATCCCTCCACGACAAGGCACACATCGACTATGACCGTGTAGCCATTGTGAGCGTCTCTGAGTGTACAAACCTCGACTCCAACACTAACGAGTCCAGATCGCCAACCCTTCGGTCGCTGCCCTCTACGAAGATGCGCTCGTATACGAGACCGGCTCAGCCATCACAGCCTCAGGTGCTCTCTCAGCATACTCAGGAGCCAAGACTGGCCGCTCACCCTCGGACAAGCGCATCGTCGAGGAGGACTCGTCAAAAGACGACGTCTGGTGGGGTCCAGTGAACAAGCCGATGAAGGCCGACGTAAGTCTTCTCCGCATTTCCTACGCATTAGACTTTTGTCTACGTCAAACCGCGGTATTGGCTTGTGAAATTTTGGCGGCAGACGTCATGTACGCTAGGCGCATACCCGATGGAGTTCGCATCCCTGCACGTGGCGCGGTTCTGGGGCTCGGCTGCCCCGCATCACGCCTGCATGACGGATCAACTTCCATCGATCCATCTGGAAGACTATCACGTGCGCATCTCGATCTCTTGCTGACATCCCATCCAGGTCTGGCGTATCAACCGTGAGCGTGCCATCGACTACCTCAACACCAGGAACCGCATCTACGTCGTCGATGGCTTCGCCGGCTGGGACCAGCGCTACAGGATTCGCGTTCGTGTCGTCTGCGCTCGTGCCTACCATGCTCTCTTCATGCGCAACATGTTGATCCGCCCTTCAAGGGAAGAGCTGGAACACTTCGAGCCTGACTACACCATCTACAATGCCGGTGCTTTCCCTGCCAACAGATACACCAGCGGTATGACATCGTCAACATCGGTCGCCCTCAACTTCGCCGACAAGGAGATGGTTATCCTCGGTACTGAGTACGCAGGAGAAATGAAGAAGGGCATCTTCACTGTTCTCTACTACGAGATGCCTGTTAAGCACAACGTACTCACTCTCCACTCTTCAGCAAACGAGGGTATTCAGAACGGCGATGTCACTGTCTTTTTCGGTCTTTCCGGAACTGGTAAGACAACCTTGTCTGCCGACCCCAAGCGCGCCTTGATCGGTGACGACGAGCACTGCTGGAGCGACACTGGTGTCTTCAACATCGAAGGTGGCTGCTACGCCAAGTGCATCGGTCTCTCTGCCGAGAAGGAGCCAGATATCTACGGCGCCATTCGCTTCGGATCCATCCTCGAGAACGTTGTCTTCGACCCAGTCACCCGTGTTGTTGACTACGACGACGATACCCTGACCGAGAACACCCGCTGCGCCTACCCCATCGAGTACATTGAGAACACCAAGATCCCCTGCATCTCAGAGGGTCACCCCAAGAACATCGTCCTCCTTACTTGCGATGCCCGCGGTGTCCTTCCTCCCATCTCCAAGCTCAGCCCCGAGCAGACCATGTACCACTTCATCTCCGGTTACACCTCCAAGATGGCCGGTACTGAGCAGGGTATCACCGAGCCCCAGGCTACATTCTCTTCTTGCTTCGCTCAACCTTTCCTTGCTCTCCACCCCATGCGCTACGCCAAGATGCTCGCGGAGAAGATTCAACAACACGGCGCCAATGCCTGGCTCCTCAACACCGGCTGGGTCGGTGCCGGTGCTACCACCGGTGGCAAGGTAAGACAATCCTTCAACAAGACTCATTCGAAACAAATGCTAACATCTCCACAGCGCTGCCCCCTAAAGTACACCCGCGCCATCCTCGACGCCATCCACTCCGGCGAGCTCGCCAATGTCGAATACGAGACCTACGAAACCTTCGGCCTCTCAGTCCCCAAGACCTGCCCCAACGTCCCCGACGAGCTCCTCAACCCCGCCAAGTCATGGAACGGCACCGCCGACTTCAAGGGCGAAGTCGAGAAGCTCGGCAAGCTCTTCATGGAGAACTTCAAGAAGTACGAAGACCAAGCCACCAAGGAGGTCATCGAGAGTGGTCCACACGTATGCTGCTGCCCCAAGCACTAGATTGTGCTTCTGGTTGAAATGGTTCCGACATATTTTTCTTACGACTTTGACAGACTGAGTAGCGGATCTTCCTTACGATGTTCTTTCTCTTACGTTACAACCGAGCGGTCGAGCGGGTACCCTCCATCGACGTCAGCGGCTGTTTCCTTGCTCTTCTTCGACTGGATGGTTGTAGGCATAATGTGTGCCTGCAGATGGGATTCGATATGATATCATGGTTTTCTCTTAATCGTTGGATGCGTCTTATGAGCGCTTTGTTGCGTGTACATACACTTTTGGCGTTGGGTTCAGCTGAGCATTGCATGGCGGGAGATGAGAAGGCAGCGTGTTTGCTGTTAGAAGAGGGAGAGAGACAAAAATTTCATCATGTTCATCATAAGCAATGTTCATTATGTTATAAATGTGATACGACTTATTGTACCACTCTTGGAAGTTACTTGTACCACTCTCGGAAGGTATCTATCGAGAGTGGTACGGCTTTAAACCACATCTGTAACATAATGCACAGAGCCTTAGAGCATCGAAGAATGTTGCTTCAGAGAAGAGATTCATTCTTTGATCAATGACTCGATGGCGTCAAGGTATCCAACTATTGAGTTCGTGCTCTTGCCACTACCATTCGTTACTGCTGTCTCAATACAAGCTATTCCAAACCCCATCCAACCATTCCCCCATTCCTAACCCTACCTATCCCACCCTCACAAAACCGCCTCATCCATATTCCTAATCCACCCCCACATCCACATGACCGTATCCAAATGCGCCTGCACCCCCACCCTCTCATCCACCGTATGAATATTGCCTAGACCAACCTGTTCCTTATCCCACCCGGGTCCATACCGAAAGATGTTCTCGCTCAAATCCCAATAGTAGCGCGTATCCGTGTTTCCAGTCATGATACCAGGACTCACAAGCAGGTCTTTACCGTACAGCGCACGTGTTGTTCCTGACAGGACCTGGTAGGGCGTTGCGGTTTTGTTTGAGCCGACATTCAAAGAAGTTGGGGTTACGGGCGCGGGCTCTAGCATGGTGGGGCCGTGGGAGAGAGTTATGCTAGAGGGCGTTTCAGTGCCGTTGAAGGCGTGGAGGGTGAGGTTGTACTTTTGGGCTACTTGGGCCGCGAGGGACGCGATGTGAGTTTTCACGGCTGAGGAGTTGGACCCGACGTTTATACGGTGGTTTACTGTTATTTGAGTTCGTTCTGGCAGGGCATTTGTTTTTACACCGCCGTGGATGATGTCGACTGCTACGGAAGTTGTGAAGAGGTATTTTATGCCTGGGCCTGCTTTTGCTGCTTCGAGGGCGAGGGCGTCTTTTGTGGGCTTCTTAGAGCATGTCAAGCTGCGTTTGGAGCGCTTGTCGAGAAGTTTGCCGAGGTGGTGCGGGAAGTCTGGGGCGTGGGAGGCGCCGCATTGGAGGAGGCCTAGGTACGGATTCTCGTCTGCGAGGTGGGGCTCGTAGGCGTTTGCTTCGATTAGTGTGATGAGCTCGCTGGCTACGCCGATGCCGTTGTGTGCGGGAGGAATGCTGCTGTGACCGCCGGGCATGCGCACAACGATGTCGACATCGATGTAGCCTTTTTCTGCGACACCGGGGATGGCGAAGTTCGCACCCCAGCTCTCGACGTTCACGGCGCCTTCGTCGATGATGGCGGCGATGGAGTTGTGTCCGAGCTTCTTTAATAGGTACTCTGAAAGATGTCCTGCACCTTCTCGGCCAGAGATCTCCTCATCGAAGCCAAACGATAGGATCAACGTCCGTTGAGGAGCAAAGCCAGCAGAGATCAGTGCTTCGACGCTGTTCAAAATAGCCAGCAGTTGGTTCTTGCAATCGCTTGCACCCCTGCCCCAAACGAACTTCCCATCGTAATGACCAGAGAACGGAGGGTAAGTCCATTGTTTAACGGTAGAGTCCGGAACAGGCACAACATCCTGATGCGCCATGAGCAGATTAGGCTTCAAGCTCGAATCTGTACCAGCCCACGTATACAGCAAGCCATGCGTGTTAACCTTGTCCAACTGCAATGTTGCATGCGTCAACGGGAAAGTCTTCTCAAGGTAGTCGGCAAAGGAGTACATAATGTCCCAGCGCGGGTCTGATCCAATCTCGCCCATGTCATCGTAGCTTTGCGTGGGGATCTGGACGGCACCTGATAAACGCTCGATGGCAACGTCTCGGAAGGCATCAGATGTCAGGTAGCTTTCCATCTCATCCAACTCTTTTGTCTTCTTCGATGGAAACAGGGGTTCGACCTGTGGACATTGCGCTTTCGAGTTGGCATTGCTTAGCCCGGAGGGAAGCTGCCATGGCGATGTAGGGACGGTGGTGACATGACGTAGGAAAGCCAAACCCGCTAAGCAAAACAATGCGCTTCCGACGAATTGACGGTAGTAAGAGCGGCTGTACTGCTCCCGAATCGGAACAGGCGTTTGCTGTCCCCAATTCTTGCCCGCCATGATGAAGCTTGTTGAATGTTAGAGTCTTGGTGTCTTGGTGTCTTGGTTATCGGATGTTGCGCGGGGATAAGTGGTTACGTTTGCGACTAGTCTCAATCAGGAAGGTATGTACATGGCTTTGTCAGTATTATCGGATCGACGAGATAATCGTATCTACCTCGCCAATTGTTTGTTGTATACATCGGAAAAGTATCCGACTCGCGTTCACTTATCGGACGGCGGGGAGGCTAGTGTGCATGAGTGGTATTTCATAGTGAAAGCCCACAGAGACAACCCATGTCTAAATTCGTCGATATAGACCACTACAGTGAACCCTCCGGCCACTTGTACTCCGGCCACGGGAAATCTGGATCGTACTTCTGCTGAAGTACAACACTTCCCGCCGGAAACGTCTTGTGTGAGCCATCAGGCATATCCACCGGCTGCGCCTCACCAACAAAAGTCCACGCTGCGAGTAGACCAGCAGCCCGCGCAATCTCATCCTTGAGCTTCCCAAGTCTATCTGGCTGGGGAGAGAAGTTCTCAAGCAGAGCTTTCTCCCTAGTCTCCTCGAATTCTCCTGGTTCAGCCGTCACTTCCACATCTTGATCACGCTGTTGCTCTCTCATATCCATTCCACCGCAATCCGATACCAGAGGCTGGAAGAAATCATTCTTCAGCGGTCGCTCCACTTCAGCATTGTCCAGATCCTCGTCGATGTCGATATTGGCAATCTCGTAGTTGATATATGTCAAAGCCAGGCATTCCGTCTTCACAAGGATCTTCATGACCACTTGTGTACTTTCTGCTTGTCCTTCTTCCACCATTTCGTCGTCAGCAAAGGCATCCACGTACCAGACTGCACTCCTCTTCACTGCATCTGCGTCAATGACGACGAATGGGGATTCTCGGCCTGCTTCGTTTTCTTTTGCGCGCATATATTGATGGGATTTGCCGATGTAATCATCGGGGGGCCTGACGATCTTGAGCTCAAGCAGTGGCTGGAATCGAGAGCAGGCGCCGAGTTCAAATTCCGTCTTGAATTTTGCGAGCTCGTTGTCGTTCAACGGAGCCACAAGATATGCTGTGAGGCATGTGACATCGAAGGGAGGCGGAATGAAAACCATGATGATGGTGAGTTTGTTGGTAGCAGAAGGGGTTGTATGTGAGTATTACAAAGGGTTGGTATTTCCTGACTGTTTATATGTGAGGCATACCGCATGGTGGTCCTCGCGTTGCCAAAGATCATCGATCTAGGCCATGCACGAGACCAACGATTGGCTACAGTTACGCTCGCACAGGCAGCAATATTGTTGAGGGCCCTGCGTTTAGCGGCTCAACTTAGCTCAAGATCGGCACTGTCGATCTGGAAACGTTAGGCTCTTCAGCAATGCACTTCAAGGCTGTCACGATCATGCCGCACACCAAAATAGAACTGTAACAACTAACACGACGCAAGATCATGCTCCAATCCGAGTCAAAGGCTCATACTCTTCTTGATTTGGGGTGTTTGTAGGTAGATCACGAGGCGTATCATAACTCCAGAACTTACGTCGCATTCGGTCTCCTTGACGGAATCTTCATTGTACCCGATGCTGATCTCAGTTGTAACAGTGGATGCGTCGTCGCATGTGAATGTCCTTCTCAGATTGAAACGAGCATACACGACACGGAGAGAGTAAAGTATGGCGAGAAGTACAAGATACCAATCATCACCTAAACGCATCTCAATACAAGATCTAATTCCTGAACACTATCAGCGCACTCTCATCCGGCGAAGGACCTATATCCGGCCAAATTTCCGTCTGGTATCCAGCTGCCCTCCGAGCCATATCCCTCTCCAAAAAATCAGCCAACTTCAGACTATCCCAAAGAATCTCTCTCCTCCTCCGCGACCGCAACATACTAATAATCCTCCGCCGCACTGCCACATCAGCGCAGAAAACGTATAGCTGGAACAACGCCGTGATGAGATCCGTTTTGAGTCCGTAGAGTGGTTGTTTCGACTTGCTCCACAGGCTATCGAGGTCGTCGAGGAGGAGACTGCATTCTACAGCGTCGAGTTGGCCAGTGGGCTGGTTGTCGCAGTTGACTACGGGGCTCTCCTCAGCTAGTAGCAACTCCCAGAGTTTGTACTGAATCTTCAGATTGACGATTCTTTCTAGGTTTCCTGCATATTCGACTGTGCCTACTAGGTTCTTCACTATGGCCCGGAATTGTATATCCCATACTTTCAATCGTTGTCGTAAGATTGCCCATTGCTTTTCGCACTCGGAGTTGTTATGGTCCTGATCCTGCTCCAAGTCCCACGAGATGTGCGTGACGACATCATCAAACGTGTTCATCACATCTTCCGCCTCGATGAGATCCCGAAGCTTTCCAGCAGATTTGTTGTACTTCTTTTTCGGGGCCATGAATGGCGTGATGTCTGCGAATATACGGTTCGGGGAGAAGAGCCCGACTTGGCTGCCAATGGCATGGAACATGGCTGCCAGTTCCTCGATATCATGGTTAGGTAGGTATGTACTAGGTTTGTGGTTCGCAATGAGTTGTGTCCCAGACCTGATGTGCCGAATCGCTTCACTGAAGTTGCCGCGTACGCTCTCGAGTATGGCAAACAAAATGCAACATGTCAGGATAGTGACTAGATCGGCTGCTGACTCGTCAGCGGAGCCCCTTTCGTGTATCAGACCGGATATGGCATCATTGTAGTGCGACAGGGTAAAAGCTTCAAGATTTGATGGCTTGTCGTGACCGCGTGTTGTGAATTGCCAATGGACGGCGCCAAGAGCCATGATCGCATGTCGTACACACGAGATGTTTTGGCTAGGGCCCTGGAAGGCCTTTTGCCAGAAGCTCTTATTCAAAGATTCAGATATCTCCATGTCGTGGATTGTGTTGGTGAAGAAGTGAGTGTAGTAGTAGGCTTCCAGGGGATGGCCTGGTACCAACAACGTTCTGGGAAGATTGATGATCAAGGGTCCCCTTGAAGAGCAAGCAGTTTGGTTGGGCTTTGCTGCCAGTACCGGCGCGTTCGAGGTCTGCCATTTTTTGAGAGGCGCAGATGCGTAGCCATCGCAGACGAAGCCGGCTACAGTGCATCTTTGGCATGCGGGTTCAGTCTCGTCGCATTTCTTCCGTCTTTTCTTGCTGGGCGAATTAGATAAACTGGTAAGGGGTGCGACAGGCCACACTGGTGACCTACCAGGTGATACAGCCTGTACGAGTCTTGTGGGAGAAGGCTCTAACCCTCCGTGCGCCTGATGGTGGCTTTGTGTTTTGCATCGCGTATATGCAGGTGAAAGGGTGCATACATCCTACTTTAATGGCCAGAGATTGACGGGACCAGGCCCCAGTCTGAGTCAAACGCGCATGTTCTGCATTGTTGATACGGGAACCTTTGATGGGGGAGATATGCCAGCCCGTACGCGGTGAGCCGGGGTCCTTAGTCGCTGCGCATTGGGCAGCGTCGCGTAAGATATGATTGGTTCTCTATACGCGCAGACCCACTCACTGCTACAACGAGACTAGCGCTCGGCTCGCCAAGCACACCAACGTCCACATGAGGTCGAGCTACCTTTCTTTGGTCGTAGATCCTGAAAGTATCTGGACGGTGTACATTCTGGCTGAGTCCGAATGATGTGGCTAGGTACACGAATCCGCAGGGCGAAGCAAGAGCATATGCGCTAGACTCCAGGCCGCAGAGGTGACTGACCTTCCGAAAGAGAACGCGAGGCAATCAGCATCAAATAGTTGACCCTTACCATCTAGGGCTTTTGCTCGTTCCATCTAACCTCTTCTCACGATATCACCTTGACCAAGAATAAAACTATCGGCCTATCTTCAACTCAAAACATGACCGATACCCAACGATCGAAGCCCATGCTGGCTGTCGCTCCAAGCCAGGAGAGCTCACCCTCAAAGTTGGAAGCTTTCCTATCGGCACACCCCGAGATCCAGATTGGTCGCGCCGCCTTCCAAAGCCTCCAGTCTGCCCACGATAGCAGCGACTCATTCTCCATCATCAACAAGCCGTTCGTAAACATGGTGCTGTATCAAGAGTTCAATGCGGATACGAGGGAGCGCATATACGTCGTCGCACTGATTGACGACCAGAAGGCTCTTGATCATTATGAACAAGACTGCGGTGGAACGTCGAACGAAGATGGATGCGATTGTGTAGAGAACCAAGGGCCCGAACATATGATTTACGAGCGTGTCGTCGAATACAAGAGTGCGGATTGCGAGAACCATAAGGATGAGCCGGAGCCGAACCCTGATTGTTCTGAGTGTTGGCCAGTTTTGTGTGGGAGTAAATGTGTTCCTTGAAGTGCCCGGGTGACGAGCAGCAGTCGCGAGTTGGAGATCCTGTATTGTTTGGTTTCGTAGATCAATTTGTTGCAGAGAAAAGTCAACGTAATTACAGAAAGCGTATCGACTCTGACTCTTATAAAATTGATCGAATGATGACTGTGAGTAGACAGCCTTGCAAAAAGGTGCTACCCAGTAATTGATGGAATTTGCTAGTCATCCGGAGGCAATTTTGGTTTATTTGTAGGCTAGTACAACAGATACACATCCTGACGTACACAGGAGGTTGTTAACAATACATGCAATTGGGAAAGTAAGCTACGAGACATCAATTGCGCACGCCATAATCGAGATTTTCATAACCCAATAGGTAGACGTGATAGGATGATGAACGACACAAACAGGACAGATACCACAGCGGTAGGCGCTCCGAGAGCGCTGGCGCCGCTCATTTGTATCGCTGGCACTACTTTGACGTGAGCTGCAAGGTTTGTTAATGAGTGGCATTTTAAGAACAACCATTACCTGGTATGTTGCTGCTAGCTGGGATGCCGTCAACAGTAGATTTCACAAAGTCGTATCCGATATCCGTCCGAACTCCCTCAGGGTTCTTGATCTCGGCGTCGTCATCTTGAGAGATGATTAGCAAGGCTCCGGTTTTACCCCGGGAGGAGAACTTACACCACAACTCATAGGCCTCTGGATGGGGGCCGACAAGACCAACAAAGCCTTTGCCGTATGGTGTGACTGAGGCAGCGACATTCTGATTGGCAGAGTATCTAGCAACAATTCCAGGGTCAGAGTCGTTGAAGCCCAGCATTGTCGCACCCTCTTGGAAGTACGCCCATCTGGCCTTCTCCAAATTCGGGCTGCTAGTGCTAGCATTGAACTTCCAATCGACTTGAATCGTGGTGTCTCGGTCGTCGTCAACTTGTGCTTTATCTTGCAGTATTTCGGATCCGACGTCGATTCCGCTGGGCATGAGATTGAGTGCCGACTTCCCAGCAAGGTAGGCCCCCAAACAGAAGCCCATGTACCGACCGCCGCCGTTGACAAATTCTCTTATCGTCTTCGCATGCGTTTTGAGCTCATCCCAAGCTTCGTCAAGATCTGCAAAATCGTTCTTAGTCTCTTGTGCTCACTTCAAAGTCAAGCCGCGATGCGTTCTCATCATCGGGCTAGGGGATACTGACCTGGTCCGCCAGGATGTGCGTAGAGGTCTGCTTTTGACAGAAGTTCGGGGCTGAGATCCACTTCTTCGTCCGGTCCAGCATACGTGACGTTGAAGTGGTAAGGGGAATTCATGAGTAGTCTGCCGACACTCTCGGAGCAGTTGTCGCAAGCGCTGGATCCACGGTAGATGATGGCTGTCTTCATGGCTACGACAGCGGGTAACGCTAGGAGCAGTATCAGACCATCTGCGATTCTCATCTTGATTTGAGTAGTGCAGGGGTGCTATGTTGCGCTTGAAAGAAGTGTGTATGCCAATGATATACAATGATCTAGGTGTGGACCGAGTTGAGTTTTATACACACGGCTTTGCTTAGGTATTTACAAGAGGGACGGTATCTTGATGTTCCTCGGGCGGGCCACTTACCCTATACGCGACGCTCACAAGGGAGGTCTTACCAGATGAATAGCCTCAACTGCAGTCATCGCGCGAGCGCGTATATGAATACTGGGCGAGACGATCAATACTTACATCACGCTAGCAAACACCTAGGCCGATATTGATCTTCGCTCTCGGCTCAGCATCAGGCTGTCTCACGCATCGAACGCAGATCACTTGTAGTGAGATGAATTGAATGGTGGAGGCGTATAGCTGCCCAATCAGTGACTTTCTGATATCACAGGGTAATGTAAAGTTAGCACCGAGCAATTTCTCTCGAGATGTTGGCGTCAGCCCCAAAATGCGCGTAAAGCCGGCCAATTAACGACTTCGGCCCCACCTGAGGCCACAAAAAGTGTAGCATCTCCAACTCACGCCCATTCGAGCCCACAACCTCTGTCGAATCCTACGTGGTTGCTCCTCCCCGTGACGCTCTGGATTTTAGCGCTGCTCAATCGTCTGTTGGCGTAGCATAGCAAGCTGCTTCTGGTAGTCCTCCTTTGCCTCGTCAGTTCCCCAGCGCGCGGCCCTCTCTACTGTGAACGCCTTCTCTATCTTTCTAACCTGCCGCCGGTGGGCTTCTGCCTCGGGCCCAAGAATCTTTAACAAGTTACCAGCCGATAGATCCTCTTTCTTACGGATGATCTCACGCCACTCGTTGGTTTGACCATATTTTGGTGCGTGTTCATCGAAGTCGGATGCAAGTGCGTCACTGTCGCTTGCATCGAATCTCTCTTCAAAACGCATCCCGTCGCACATTTCAACTTCCAAGCAACTCTTGATGTAGCGTTTGACCTTTGGAGGCATGTCTCGAAATCTAGACTGGTACTCTAGTACCTTGATCATGTCGACGAAAATGGTGCCTTTTGGTAGCTTGAATCCAATGTCGGCTAGACCCTGCTGTGTCAAATTCGGTCGATGGGAACAGACGCAGATTGTCGGGTGCCTTGACGATATTTCACGGAACATCTTGTCGAGGACCGCGACGGCATCCTTGGTCGATACAAAGCTGGAGTGGGTATCGCCTGGGTTCGCCTGCCATTTATTCTCCCGCATGCTAACGACGGACTGCGGCCACTTGGACCGCACCCAAAATCGGTACTCGTGTGACTTGTTCTGTTTGTCGCCGCTTGGATCCTTAGTGGTTGACACTGCGAGGGATGCTGGGGCTGGGATTTCCACAGACAAGACAGGCATTGCTTCTTCTTGCTTCCAGTAGCCCATCACCTCGTTACGGGCTATCCAGCCCTTCCAGGAATAGGCCAGACCAGACTGAGCCCACTCCATCGCCACCAGAGCGACATGCGGTTTCTCCCAGCAGCGAGCCAGGGTTTCGTTTTCTGTTGCGCATTCCCGTATTCTCTCCATCTCGCTTTCAGCGATAAGGCCAGTTGGTGGTATCATGGCAATCACTGGACGAATTACTCTGATGCTGTTAGTGCGGAAAAAAGAGGATAGAAAGGAACAAGAAACGGATACAACCAAAGCCGCTATTTAATCATTATTCTCTAACTAGCGCGTACGTTCTGAGAATAGACTTTCCACGTGATGATGTGCTCAAAACCAACACTATCAGCCCCAAGGCAGCAGCATTGCCTCGTAACACATGATCCCAAACTCAAGGTGGCTGAGTCGATGCTAAGGAGATTGTACCGACGCGACCGACCTTGGCCAACAAGAACTTGGACACTTGATACAACACTAAGACGACCGAAAGCCCTACTTACGTTGCGATGATGTGGTGGGGTGAAGCGCGCACAGTCATGTGTGAGGCGGAGTTAGCGCACATTAGGTCATCGGGCGTACCAACGCGGACGAAAGAAGGTTCCTATCGACACCTTGCAAGGTTTACATTGAGCAAAGTCTTTCCAATTTTGACTGAATTGTCAGATCGATGAGATACTCGTTTCATCTTCAAAATCCCTGTCTTGTATGGACCGGATAAGTATCTCAAACACATTCACTTATTGGAAGAGAAGATATTGATGTGTGCAGGTCGTGTTTCGTTACTACATGGGTGTAGACTCCACCACTACAATACACCCATACATTGTAAGAAAGCCAGAAATATCCAATCGCCGTCTCCTTGAACCATATACCAGTCGCTGAACCCGCAATTCTTGTGGCTTTAAGCTCAAGTCTCGTCTTCGCCCGTCCGACGTATTTAGCTAGACGTCTACTGGATAAGCGGGCCCTGCTTGTTACTCAAGTTCTCCGGGATAGGCTGATAGCGCATCTGGACCCAGAACTCTGGCCATTCGTCCCTGAGATGGCCTGAAGTCGATGAGAAAGCTCACGGTCAGTTTATCTTGTCAAGCGTTTCGAGTAATGCGTAATCCATGAGGGACCAGTATTATTCCTTAGCTCAGACTGATACTTACCGATGAGATTGACGAAGCCAGAACGAGGTGTGAGCTTGTGACCGCCTCCGTAGGACTCGAAGTGGTCCGCGGCGCTGCCAGGGTGGACTTGGTCGAACATAGTCCGGATGTCGGTCAAGGTAACTTGGTTACCGGACTTGAGGAGAGTGAGGATTTCAGGGAGGTGGCCGGCCTTGGTGGGGATGAGATTTGAAGGTATGTTTGGCATTGAGGCGGGATTTGTATGCGCGGGTTTGTTGTGAAGTGTGAGAAAGAAGATTAATGATATTGAGCTGTGTCTCTCGTTCTCAAAGGTGTGGTGTCTGGGGAAGAGGGATACTTGGTCCCTGATCGCTTGTTTATATACCTGGAGGGAGTGAGGTATCTCAAGAGTGAATAAGTAGAATTTCGAGGTGAGCAAGAGCGTGACCACGTCTAAGTCTTGTTGAAGGAGACTTCTAGGCAGCACAGGAGTATGCCAGACCAAAAGAGTCGGTCACGATCTTGACAATAACAATATGGCGGGGTTTACAATAACAAGATATCAAACGCGCTCACCTACCATTGCGCGTACTCCCACCCCTCGTCAGTCTGCGACATATGCGCATCTCCAAGTCTGCCTTCAATATCATCATCTTTAGCTCTAACTACCTCCTCGCTCCCCCCCATCCCATTCTTGCTCAGACTCCCCATCAACATCTTCTTGCGCCCTAATCTGAGCAACAGTGTCAGCCTTTACCAACGCCTCACCCAACCAACCCAATAACCTCGATCCAGCTCTACACACGATACCAAAACGAAAGCAGTACTGGAAGACTACGTTATCGCCCAAGATGTCGAAACTACGCGAGAAAGCTGACGGAGGCGCCTCCGTCAACTTACCATCTTCTCCTCGCTCATACACACAATCTCCATCGTCCTCCTTCTCCGCACCCTCTACAACCAGCCTCTCTTCTTTCTCCCGCGCCTCCCTCTACATAGTTTGCGGCGAAACCCAGATCGTCGTATCCTCCAAGTGTCCCTCCAACAACCCAACAGATCTTTTATAAACCTCCGTCTTCCCTTTCACCGCCTACACCAATTGAATGCCCTTACCCCTCGATAAGAGAAAAGTATGCGCAAAATAGCTCCTATCCTGTCTAATATCGCTTGCACTACTTAGGGGGTCTGGCAATCCAAAGGCATGGCACGCCCAATTACTATTCACAGCCCGTAGAGTCTCGTTGATGGCGATGTGGTGTATAGAAGACTCATTTTGCAGCTTTTCCAACGGCGTAAACGCTTTCGACTTGTGTGTCGCACTATCATCTACTCTCGCCAACGACGTCCCTGGATACGTTTCCAGGATAGATAAGTTAGCAGTGAGGTGTTTGCGGAGGGTGTAGAAGTATTCTAGGAAGAGGAGGATGGATGTACGGGATACGGGGGTTGGGCGAGTTTCTTGGATTAGTGTGCTGTTAGTGGACAGGGCGTAATAGTTGATTGTTGCAAGGTAGTTCAAGTAGTTTGGGTCTAGATCTTCGAATTCATCGTGGGTTAAAGAGGGGAGAGGCGGGAGATTGGCTAGGTTAGATGATAGTGTAGTGGCTGCTGAAGAGTTTGGGGATGGTTTTGAAAATGGGCAGTTAGCATCAGACTTTAGTTCGGACGCAACAGTTGATGCTGAGCCGTTGGTGACATCGAGCGCAGTAGGCGGGCCTAGAATTGTGAGAGCCTCGGTCGACATGGCCATCGCTCAACTATCTGGTGTAATACCGGGTGAATTGATGTTATCATATGTGCTCAAAGTTAACATATAAAAATCTTGCGCGCACTGTACGTAGCACGACATTGTTGGCGTGTATCGTACTTTTTCCAATCATCCAGACACTGCGGAGTAAGTAGACTGTAGCCACAGCGACAATAGTCAGATGGTAGGCTTCATCTTTGTCCGACGCCCAGTGCCGTGCTGGCATCCAGGCTTAGGTCAGACCGAGCTCCAACGTCCATCCCAAGCCAAACTGTCTTCGTCCGACCAGGACATTGCGCTATTCCTGCTCTTGCTCTGCCTCACTATCATCATGGAACATGCCATGTAGTCCTTCCCTTTCAGCACCGATCAAAGGAGCCCTCTCGCCCTCATGACGCGCGAAATGGCCTCCGATGCTGACAGCCAAAGTACTGAAGCCATGGATTATGGTACTTCCGAGGACAATGAAGCAAACAATGGGCCATATCATAGTAGCTGTCCGTTGTCGCTCCACTGGCAGGTCCTTAGGCGGCTGTGGAAGGGGCAGGGATGTACCGGTCTCGAGCTGCGCGCGGGCTTCGATGGCGAGGAAGAGAGCGCCGACACCCATTGGTCCAAAATGTCCGACAAAGAGGGCTTCGGTTGTGGTCTTTACCAAGGGCAACATCTTCGTCTTGAAAAGCGTGAAAACAATCGGGATTCTGCGGAAGAGCAGGATGAGTGCGAGTAAAGCAAGCAGTCGGAGAGGGGTGATTCCGTCCATCGCGTTGAAGCTCGCCCAGGGTATCATTGCACCGAAGAAGATGAAGAACGCTGAGTTGATCAGCAAGTCGATGATAACGGGCAGAGCGGTTCCTTCTGTGGGGTTCTTTTGGTTGTGCGCGAAGCCACGTCCTGCGAAGAAGGCCACTAGGAAGTCGTCCACTCCAAGAACCGATGCCAGTCCGATGGAGAAGATGGCCAGGAGTAGGTAAAAGGCCAGGTAGGAAGCTCGGCCCATCCACTCGCGGCTGTGCGAGAACCTGTATAGGCCGTTGAAGATGTATCCCAGGGCGATACCGAGGAGAACGCCTACCACGCACTGGTACAGTATTGTAACAAGGAACCATTTTGTGAAGAAGCCACCAGCGGTGTTCTTCAGGAGGAGACTCAACCCCAGATACAAGAACGGGAAGGATATGCCGTCGTTGCAACCACTCTCTGCGCTTAACAAGTCCCTAATCCGCTTGGGCACTCGGGTGCTGAACTGGCTGTTTGACAGAACTGAAGCCGCGAGAACAGGATCTGTGGGCGTGAGACAGGCTGATATCGTCAAAGCAGTCTGAAAGTCTGTGTCGAAAAGGAACATGATAAGCATTCCGCACATCAGCCAGCCGAACGACATGACAGGTCCGAGTAGAACAAGCAGGGCGCGCCAGTTCTTTTGAACATAGCCTGAGGGAAGCTCCAGGCCGACTACAAAGCACTGAATTCCGACAATGAGACGCGTCAATTCTTGGATTATTTCATCCTACAACGGTTAGCGTTGTTTGTTTGTATGGTGGGCGCACTTACAGAAAAGCCCCATTCGTATGGCCTGAGGAGGTTCAGAGCGCGTGGTCCGACGATCTATCGCTTTTGTTAGCAAGTTGTTCGTTCTTAAAGATGACTGCAACTCACGATACCAAACAGCGTGGCTAATGGCGGTTCTGAGAGATGCAGGCGGTTCCGGATCATAAGCGAGAATAGCGCGTACAAGATGAGGAAGAAGGTTAGGGTCACGTAGGTAACGTGAGGCCCCGTGGGCTCAAGCTGAGACCAAACCATGATGCTTTACTGGTCGTTGGAAATACGAGCGTGGTTTGTGGTGAGTGAGCTGAAGTCTCTGCGAAGCTTGGGCGAGAGCAGGCGTTCTATGATCGCCGTGACGTCGAAGGTAAATGGCGAACACCGCTAAAAGGCGCGCGCTGGATAGATAGCAGATATTCGCGCACAAAGACCTCGGGCGGCGAATATCATGGGGGACCTGAAGTGCAGAATTAATGGCGCGTTGGATCAGGTGTTGACCGCGAAGGATCACACTGCATGGAGGTGCGCATCGATGACGAAGGTTGGCTGGATTTGGCAGTGCGCTCGGACCGTAGTTGCCGGAAGTGGTGGCACCTTGCATGTTGAGACCACACGACCGCCTGGGCAGATTTGGATTCGGATGGAGTCTAAGAAAGAGCAGGTGTGATGTTCTCGCGAATCCATGTTTGCGGAGTATTATGGCCCTATCATATGTATGCACCAGTTCCGAATGCGATATATGCAGCTAGATCAAGCCACTATCTCCACGTGAGCACGCGAGGTAATCAATTCCACTACTTTTGTGAATCCAGCGCCTCCCTTGAATATGGATATGCCCAACGCCGCTCTCACGCGGTGATGCTACTCAATCTGGCCATGCTATGCGGCTGATATTAAAAATACATGCAAATTACAGTGAAACCGATGGTTGTGATTATGGGAATTGTCCGCTATGCGTCGTCCGGTGGGTTGTTGAAGAAGGCGAATCGTATCCTGTGGAGCTGGGAGGGGGGGAGTTAGAAAGGCTTGGTCTAGATGAGGATGGGATGCATACCGAGGGGAGCTTTGGAATGACGACTGCTATGGTCGCAAAACAGTTGATGAGGAAATACGTCAGATTGTAATTCGTGTAGTGCGTGCTGACGAGGAACAGCACAATGGGCACGCTGAGGAGGAACTTCTTGGCTGGTGTGTATTGTTCGCCGTTGTCAATCTGTTCCCACATGTTCAAGTTGTCGTAGGCGCCCGAGTTGAAGTCAAAAGGCACACCGCGCACGTAGTGGAACATGAGGTAGGATCCCGCCACGTACGAAAGGTTGACTAGGGTCCATGATGCTTCTTGCGACATGCCGGGGATGATGTCGAATAAGATCTTGCCGAAGAAGATGAGGACAAAGTGGATAGCCCAGGCGCCTGGAGGTGTTAGCCTGGGACATACAAACCAACACAACACACCATGTCTCTTTGACATGTGATATGCGCGTGCAGTGTGTGCTCACCCTTTGCATTCACCCATTCGGCGTTGAGGTTGGGCAGGGCGGACTGATCGCTCAGCTGCTCCAGAGACTCGGGGGGCTCTTTGTAGACAAGACTACTGCTACGTCGCCTCCTCGCGTCCTTTGCAGCATCCAGCGACATCTTGGAGTAGGACGAGGGCGAGTCTGATGGGCGAGATCCCGGGTCGCCAGCAAAGCTCAGGCGGGAGGTGCGATTGAGGAGTATGGGTGACAGTTTGGCGGTATTGCTGGGTTCGTCGGGCGGCCGGGCGGTGGGTGAGGGGGATGGATAGTCGCGTGTGCGAGTTAAGGCTATGGGAGAGCTGCCACGGGCAATGGCATGTCAGTGAGGTCCTAAAGGAGCAAGGCGGCGACGTGGGCTTTCAGGGTCTTACTGAGTACGCAATACCTTCCGGAGCGTCCGAGCTTCTGGCGTTGAGCGATTGGCGCGGAGAGAGAGGCGTGTAGACGGTAGCGATATAACGAGGCAGCGGGTAGAGGATAGGGAATTGTTGGCAGAGGAGGAGGGAGTGAAGCCTCAGTCGGCAGGCGTGAAGACGGAGGCGTGGCAGGTCCACATGATGCTCCCAAAGACCGTGTTCCTAGCAATCACCGAGGCCGTGCCCTGAGCGCAACCATACAACTCTAGAACCAGACACTACTGCCTCCGTACACGACAGACCCTCCAACCACCACCCTTTTCACCACCATGGCCTCGGAAGCGCCGCCCCCGATGGAGGCCCACGCCCTCGCCCTCGCCCACGATGCACCGCCCGCCGATGCACCGGATGCGACGCAGAAGCCCGTCAAGCGCTCGTGGAGGTATGACGCGCCAACGGATACAGTATAACCCCCAGCTAATGTGCATAAAAGACGAAAATACCGCAAGATGCGCATCAAGTTCGAAGAGGCCATGAACGACAGCGACAGCCTCATCAAGCAGGAGTGGAAGGCCATGGGCACCGCCCGCCGCCTGCAGGAGAACAACGACCAGATCCTCGACATCCTCCTCGAGCTCAACGAGCAGACACGCGTCAACCCGCGCCTGCGCTTCGACCTGCGCAACCTCTCCGCCGCCGACACCGCCGTGCCCTCGCTTGAAGCCGGCCCCGATCCAGAACTGGTAAAAGCACAGCTGCAGACGCTGAGAGAGGGCCTGGCCGCCAACACCATCACCCCCGAGGAGTACGCGACACGGGCAGATCAGCTGCACTCATCGCAGGCCATCCAGCAGACGCTCAAGTCGCTCGCCAGCCTTGAGGCCAAAATCCCCCACACGACGCGCGCCGACCTGCCCGACCACCCTGTCGAGGGCATCGACCTCAGCGAGCATGCGCCGGGCTACATGTCGCCCACCCACGAAGACGAATACCTCCTCGCTACCGACCAACTCCTCGAGCAGCCCGGCTTCGACCAGGCCCTCCAGCAGGGCCGCCCCGTCCGCCTCGCATCCGCTCAGCCCCCGCTCAGCGAAAAGGACCTTACCGTGCGCAACCCGGACAGCGTCTACAACTGGCTGCGCAAGCACCAGCCCCAAGTTTTCCTGCAAGACAAGGATGCGGCGCATCACGAGAACCTCTCTGAAAAGTCCGCTGCACCAAAGACCAGCAAGGCCAACGCAACCAAGGTCAAACGCGAGTCAAACATTGGCGGCGGCACACCCGCGCCCCGCGACCACGACGACGAAGACTCGGCCGCCCCCGAAACGGGCAAGGGACGACGCAAGACGGGCGGCGGCGGCGGCGACGACGACACCGCCTACCGACCCAAGGGCGGCAGCTCTCGACCCACAAAGCGCAAGCGGGAAGAGGGTGAAACGCCCGCGGGTAAGGGCAGCAGGAAGAAGAGTCGCCCCAGCGCGAGCACAGGACAAGCTGCTTGACCTGCTTGCTAACAGGGCGCATAGAAGAGCTGGCCCATCGAATTGTGACATGCACTCGTTGCGCGCGCCGTAATGATAGCAGGACCGCACTGAATTGCAACGTGCGAATCCACCTGGGGATTACTTCCACAGCCATTCCTTGTACGATGTGCGTGCGCCGTGGCGCCAAGTGCATTGTTGATCCACTCGGTATCGAAATCATGGATACATCTCTTCAAAAATAGTCGTAAAATTTTATGTTGGAATTGGGGATGGCGTTATAGGGAAATATTGGCGTAACGATGGGTCTAACTATACCCTTGGGAGTTCAATTCCCCGGAAATTGTATCAACAGGCGTTTTGACAACTGGAGATTAACTGGATATATGGGTATCATCCACACACTACAGCACAGAAAGATGCTGTTTCCATTGCGTATTTGTAACAACAACAACCAAACATTTCATATTCATACATCAACGTTTATATCAACCACACTATCTTAGTGGCTTCCCCCTCGCACCCCCCACCATAACCGTCTCCGGCGCCTTCTCCGCCTCATTCATAAACGGCAAACTCGTCTCAAGCACCTTCGTGCCATCCACCAACAACCCATTCCCCTTGCGCTGATCCTCAAGATACGCCGTCTTCATCCTCTTCTCCTCAAGATACTGTTTCCTCTCCTTCGTCAACACCCATTCCTTCGGGAACTCCGCCCTCTTCTTCGGCGTATGATGTCTGAAATCAAACGGCACATCCTCAAATGTGTCTTTACCCTCCTTTGCTTCTTTGATAATGGCAGACAGGGTGTTGCCTAGGAACCGCTTGTTCTGCGCTTGTGTATCGAAGTTCTCGCAGGAGAGCTTGACGATGTTGGTGGAGGGGTTGTAGCGGGGTCCGGCGAGCTTTATCACTTTGGAGACTTGTTGGGTGGTTAGAGAGTGTGACGCGGTGAGGTCGTTGGGCGAGAACTCGACGACGACTTTGTTGGCGGCGGGGTGCGATTCGCCGAGGTAGGATGTGTAGCGGAAGCGGAAGGGTGTTGCGGATGTAGGGGGTTCGAAGGGGCGGGCGAGGTCTGAAGGATGTTAGCATATGCATTTCGTGCCATGTCTTGTTCAATATATGGTCGACGTACGACTCAAAAGCGGTAACTCCCACGCAATCAACCGCGCATACTCCCTCAACTCGCGGTGCTGCTCCAACTCTCCATGTCCGTGACTCGTCAGGTCGTCTCCGTAGTAATCCTCATCCGGTCCCATGCTCTCTTCTCCCTCGGCCCAGAACCCGGTGGATACCTTCCTCTTGTCATCCTCTTCAATATCAAAGTCTTCATCTGCTTCCAGGCCAAAGTCTTGGGTTTGCGGTAGACCGCGTTTTCCCTTGCGGAGGGCGTCGCGAACAACAGCAGGGTCGATTTCTGCGAGAGATGCACGTAGGTTTTCCAACATGGCGGATTCTCGTTCTTGCGGTGTCATGTCCTGGAATGCTTTCGTCTGCGTGGTATTTGAGAAGGATGATTGAGGTAATTCCGGTGCAAGTTCGTCCAGAGTTTCAGTCGGGGGCTTTGCATCTGCTGCGGTTACGGAGCCCTCTTTCGTGGGTTTATTGGCGTACCGCCGTGGCGTTGTGGATATTGGCCGTTGCCATTGTACGGGTGTGTGTTTCGGTGCGGCGAGCGTTCGTATCCGCGAGGGGCATTGGCGTGACTGCAAGAGCAGTCTTCGTGGTATTGACGCCATTGGATGTGGTTGGACGAGTGATGCTGTCGTCGACTTTTCGCGATGCAGGAATGCTTGGCGATGGGGTGCAAAGCGTGGCCGTGCGTTGGACCAATTGGAACTAAGACGGCCCCGACCTTCGCCGCCGTCCTTGCATCGTGACCATCTTGACGCCAACTTGATTTCGACTTTTGGTTCTGATCTCGAGGGAGTTGATGGATAGCCTGAGCAAACTCCCTGACTACCGTCTCCCGATATCTTAATACTCATCACGTCCGTCATGGCTTGGAACTGGACGTCTGATTCGAAGCTCTGCTTCGTGACTACCGGAGCAACGGCGCCATTCACCGAGCTCATTGAATCAGTGCTGAGTCCGACGTGTCTGGATTCACTACGCGAAGGAGGGTTCACACATATTTTGGTCCAATATGGATCTGCCCAGGACGTGTACAAACAGTTCTCAAAACTCGCTTCAGCATATATACAGGAGACCCCGTCAAAAGGAAACCTCGTCATAGATGGTATAGATTTCAACCCAGACGGACTGAAAACCCAGTTCCAGTTGGTACAGCGGTCGAAAGGCTTGGTCATCTCGCATGCTGGTACGGCACAGCCAATCCATTTAGTTGATTCATCTAACGATACATAGGATCGGGTTCTATTCTCGAAGCACTTCGCTATCAGATCCCACTCATCGTCGTGCCCAATACTGGGCTACTTGATAACCACCAAGAGGAGCTCGCCGTTGCAATGGAACGGAACAACTACCTCGTTCGTGGGGATGTAAAGTACGATTATGCTTTGGATTTGTAGTAGCCTAAACTGATACATGTATAGGAACCTCGCGCCTGCGATCAAGAAGTCAGACGAGTTTCGACTGAAGATGTCACAGTTCCCACCTATGACGAGTGGGAAGCATCGTGAGACTAAGAGCTTCGCGGCAATCATGGACGAGACGACGGGTTATATGGATTGATGCAACCTTCGTCAGCACATCTTTGACTTGTGTTCGCGCAAGAACTCGAATTTGAGGAGAATTGAGCACTGGCCAGACGCTTGGGAGAAGGCTTCGCTGTTCGACATTGCTCGCGTTTTGAATACTCAGTTCTCAACTCACAGCACTTCCAGCCTAGAAATGGTTGAAGAAGAAGCAGAGGTATGTCATTATCTCAAGGAATGATATTCTGGCATTAGGGTACTATGTCGCTTCTACAACACAACGGTGCGGCAGGATGTACCGTAAGGACTAGGTGGACACTGTTGGCAATCGCGTCACCTGTCACTTCCATTGGGTCACGGCGTGGAACCGAGATTGGTTGCTCCGGGTGTCTATTGCGGTAATCACTTCCCCTTCGCGCTGCATGCAGGTTTCCGACTGCCCGGTATCTCACTTTATACGTGTCTGCGACGTTCGCACCTGAGCTTTATAGATGGTACCGGCAATTCTGGCTTGTACCACTCAGTTCACCTCAACACTTGTTCACTTCCAAACACCACTTGGTCTTTTCATTGGACTATTTTTCTCTGCTTTACTGCACCTCGATAATCTGGCTCAGATACAGCAAACAATACAATCCACAGCCAATCCCAGCATGCCTACGCAGTCCTTCATCACAACGCTGTTGGCTGCTGTAGCTTCTGTTGTAGCAGCCACCCCGAGGTGAGCACCCTTTTGTCCAAGTTCAGTCTCATAGGCTTATCAGATATGCAGCACTCTTCATGAGCGAAGCGTCGCCTTCGACTGGGGCACAGACAAAGTGCGAGGTGTGAACATTGGCGGTTGGCTCGTTGTGGAGCCGTAAGCAAACCAACACCCATTGTTTGCTTCGCCTGACACTGCCAGGTTCATCACGCCATCCATCTTCGAGAAGTACGACTCAGAAGAATGGCCAGTCTTTGACGAATGGACACTTTGCGAGCGACTGGGCCGTGATGCTTGTGCCGATGTGTTGAAGTCACATTGGGATAACTTTTTCTCGTTGGAAGATTTCTGGAAGATCAAGAACTCCGGCTTCAACGTCGTGCGCATTCCCGTCGGTTACTGGAGGTGAGACTTCCTACAATTCCACCATGCAACTCCACTAACGGCACATCTTATAGCTACGTGGAGCCCTGGGGCCCTTACATCGCCGGTGCAGCTCTTTATCTCGACGCCGCAATCGACTGGGCGCGCCAAACCGGTCTAAAGGTCATCATAGATCTCCACGGCGCACCCAAATCTCAAAACGGCTTCGACCACAGCGGCCACACAGCATCCTGGCCATCCTGGGGCGACGCCGAGAGTTTGAGGCACACACACGCTGCACTCAGTGTAATCTCACAAAATTACGCCAAACCAGAGATGCATGATGTCGTGGTGGCTATTCAATTCCTCAACGAGCCTTTCCTGATGAAGCTCGATCGCGAGATGGTCAAACAGTTCTACAACGACGCGTATTGAAGCCTACGAGATATCAGCGATACACCCGCCATGATGCATGATGGTTTTGAGAACCCATCTTGGCTGAACAGTTTCCTGACTACCAAGGATGGTGCGAGCGATGTGATTGTCGATCACCATGAGTATCAGATCTTTGACGATGGTGCCAATGGCATGTCCGTCGACCAACATGTCGCTCTTGCATGCAACTCTGTACGTTACAAGCTCTCTATCATCACACAGAGTAACGCCTGCTAACCCCTCCCTTCCAGGTCAGCAACTACGACAGCTCCGACAAATGGATCAGTAAGCCGTGCCCCTCCCTTCTCCCAAATTCCCCCAACTAACCCCCACCCCAGTCGTAGGCGAATGGTCCGGTGCCTTCACAGACTGTGCCCCGTATCTCAATGGCTTCCACCTGGGCTCCCGCATGGAAGGCAGTTTCCCCGGCTCCTACTACATCGACACCTGCGTGGGTAAATCCGGTCCCGTTGCTTCATGGTCTCAAGACTGGAAGAATAGTGTGCGTCGCTACATTGAGGTCCAACTCGATGCGTATGAAGCCAAGACCAAAGGTTGGATCTTTTGGAACTTCAAGACTGAGGGTGGCGCGGGCGAGTGGGATCTGTTTCAGTTGATTGACGAGGGGGTTTTTCCCGCAACCGCTGGGGGAGAGGTGATTTGGGAAGGCTTGTAACAACTTTTGAGATGTAGTGGTGTGGGATGGAAAGTTTGGTGGTCTGATGGGAGACGGGTGTAATGTTGCGATGGATGGGCGAGGAGGTATAGGGTGGTACTTGTGTATGGGTATGTGGCATCTTAGTGGATATATACTGACATCGCATGCAATACGAGAAAATGACCTGGCTATCACACTCGTCTTCACATGTCGACTCAACAATCCCGCGTTCTTCGTACTCGGCGTCTATTTTTTTGTAACACAGTGAGTAGTGCATAGTTTTCTTCGCACCTACATCGAAGATCAGTAACCCGCTGAATATTATCTCTCACAAAACCATCGCACACTTCCTAGCACCAACTAGGCATTTACATTCATCACCACGACATATAATATGCACCAACTCCTCAGCAGCGAAGCCTTGTCCTCTTTCATTCATTTCCTTTACTATATACAATCGTATATACATCCCAAAATCTTCCCCACAAACGACAATTGCTGTATTTTGGTTTTCATTTGCGAGATCCAACTTCGGACGTGCCATCGGCCTTGTAAATATAACGCCACGAGAATCGTGCCATTCGATTCCGATTGGCACTTCCTGACCTCGTTGCGAGACGTCCTGACAGATGACGCATTGTGTGCTTCGGACACATGTCGTTAGTATGGTACCCGATGTGGTTGCACTGTGGAGCCGCTTAACCACGTACGCGTGCGTGGAGGGACTTCTACACGATATGCACTAGAGGCACCGTATACAGAAACTGGAAACTCTTCCAGCTATGAAGTGTCGAGGCCGAGAAAGTGTGAAGAAAAAATTCTGTATATAAACCTCCCTCATTATATATACGCGTACTCGCAAATCAAACTCCGCGCTGCACAGCTGTGTGCGAAGGCGGGTACGTATCCCGGTTTTTGTTCGATCTTCCTCTGATGGAAAACACGCTGGGTGTGTACATTGAAGAGCGATGAGAAATGACACCTGCTCAGATCATATGGGTAACGGCGACGTGACGCAGATTGCACCATCGAAGCGTCCAGTACTGGGTTCGCTGGGAAGACAAGGTGCCTCAATGGCTACCAGCATTGGATGATGTTGTCCGTTGTGCGCGACTCGCACACGAAACCTTTCGACAATGAGCAACAACCGGCAGAATATGTGCACCTGGCAAGTGTCCTTCGAAATTGCAGTCCTGCGGTTCGCGACAGAACACGCACGATTGACTGTGGACTTCCTCACCCACTGGTACTGCGATGATACAGAGCGACAAGCTACTCACCATACCATACACAAAGGCACTCTTGAATGACAGAGATCGCAATCAGCAGAGACTGTGATCTTGACTTGGAACCAAGCAGCCCTCGCTTGCTTTCCTCAGCACTCCATTACGAGAGCAGAATGCAAGTCCAACGCGCAAACTTTGCGCGCAAGAAAAGTTCGTTCTGCAAGGCGAAAGTTTCTGATACACAACCCTGCTGCGATCATAAAGTCCAGAACCGCACATCGTCATTTTGTCCTCTCCGCAGACCCGTCATTTACTATTTTTGCGCGTGCACACCGGAAGACGTGGGCTTTCCCGCTCGCCACGACCACGGCCCTCCTCTTGTCCGTATTGCGTGTCTGTGTTGCGTGCTCGGATCGCACAAATCTTATCGGACAGACACTCGGAGAGGATGTTGATGCGCATGGGAAGTTTTGATAGGAAAGAAGTCCAACAGTTTAAAGTGTGCGGAATTCCGCAGACGCGCGCGAATGAAGGTCGCTCCCACTGCCGCACATGCTGACGCGAAGTACCGAGCCAATTGCCTCGGTTTCCACGGATTCTTAGTCGGCTAGTGCTGATTGCCGGTGCCGCGCTCGCTAGTTGGGCCTGGGAACTGCAGCAACCAGCACAACGGTTTTGCGCCAAGTACTGGGTACCAACCAATTTTGGGCTGTCACTGGGCAATGCGTGGTCTTCACCCCTTCTTTTGATTCCAGGGCTGAGAGTCGATCTGTGTGGCCCTGTCTGGGAAACCAAAAAGCACAGACTGGGGTTGCGATCGCATCGTGCAAATTATAAGGCGGTGGTCAGAGAGCGTTGTGTTCGCCCCGTAACGTGTCCAAACTTCTTGGGCACGAACGTCGCGAGGAAGAGCCTAACTACTTCGGGACATCGCGTTTGGGCACCGGCCGGCTACTGCTACTGACATGCTCCGAACCACGGTCGAAAATTTCGAGTCTTTCATCAAAGTTCATCAGCTTGCTGTGCGCAGATTCAACAAGCAGGTTGATGCTGGATTTCGATGATGACCTTGCTTCACGGACCAAAGCTTCCTCTCAAGATTGCTCATTGAACCACCACTATGCGCTGCGAAGTACTCCTATCTGGCAACAAAGAAGACTTTCACATGACGTTTGGTCCACTTCCGCGACCCGCATCGTTCATGCAAGGACAAGACTCCGTGGGGAGCTGCGTAATGCAGACGAAACGTGGGAGCACAGACGAAAAGTAATGGGAAACCTCGAGAACACGGTGCGAGAGCGACTTTGAAAAAGCTGTTGCTGGATTTTAGAGTTTCGGACCGGTTTACGTCGCCTTGTTTGGCAAGCCTCAACAGCCCAAGGCGCCTCATTACCAACGGCTTTAACGCGAGCGCTCTGGGAAATTGAGCACATGTCATCGGATCGAAGTGGGAGTGTGTTCTGGACCAGCTCGCTAATGACCTACTCCACATTATTCTCCGACACATCCCAGCGATCATGTTTCGCATCACATGGGATGCCTTGGGTACTGATGGGTTCTGTCGTGAAGTGACGAGCCATCGCAGCTGTCTCTATGGAAACGTTGGTGCATGGACAGAGTTCACTCACATCTGCAATATGCACTCCAACGGCTTTCTGGATGGTGAACCAGTCTTTCATTCTTTGGTGTGCATGTAGCTAAGGTATAAGCGAAAAATACACCCCGGTCCTCGTCTTTCTGAGGTCATCGGATGAGAGTCCGAACCACAACATTGCCCCGCCTCAGCAGCATTGAGCCAATCAGGCCCTTTGCCGGACAGTCGCTGGACTATTGACCGAACGGCTCTGCATGGATCAACCGTTTTTCTGGCGTATTACGAAGATCGCCCCGCCTTGCTTTGCGACTGTTAGCGGGGCCGGAGGCCGCGCAGCTGCGTTTCCCAGTTTCAGCTGTATTTGTACCCGTGGCGCCCTTGGTCAACACAACAACAACAATCACAAAAAAGCAACTGGCATGCCCCTATCAACATAAACACCCCGCGCGAACCACTCCTGAAACATTGAACTCTCTTCGGACCCAAATCGAAATCAATCACTCTCAACCAGGATGTCGACTACCATTGGTGTGCCGTATGACGACCTTCGCCCGCATGTGCTGCGACAGAAGAAGTCGTTCTTCCAAAGGCTGAACGAAACCCACGACCAACTCCTCTCGCACATGCGGTCGTTGAAAGAGGATCCCGTACTTTCGGTCAAGCAATCAGCGGAACGCACGAGGGCATCATCGACAACATCGCTCACATCAGTACCGGAGTCAGATCGGGAAAGCTACCAAGACACGACGCGATGCACCGAATTCGACCTCGAGACCCCGATATCCAGCGGATTCCTGTCCCCGCCAATCTCGCCAGTCGAAGGCAGCTTCTTCCCTATCCAGCAATTCCTGATTCCCATGGATCGCAAGCCCAGCAAAGAGTTCATCCAAGGCATGCAAGGCTACGTGCACTGGAAGCAAGCAACCTACGAGTCCACCCTCAGCCCTCCCATCTCCCCTCCCCAAACACCGCAAAGCAGCTACTCGTGGAGCTCCTCAAGAAGCACTCGCAGCGAGATGTCAGACGAGGAGATGGACGACTGGCTCGACCGGCCCATGGACGCAGACGTGCATCGCTTCCGCAAGATCTCCGCGTCCTCGCTTGAAGAACCTTTTGAATCCGACGAAGACGAAAAGAAGATCCACGTCATCCAAGAGCAACCAGAGGACGAAGACAGCGCGTCGCGCGAAGAACGCCAGCACATCTCCGCTATGTGGCGTGAGACGTGGTGCATGCGCGACTCTCAGGCAGAGACCCTGCTTGAAAGCCAGAACAGCGACATCGCCCCCGAAGTAAAGGAAGTGGCTTCGCTAAAATCCACCAAAACCAAGAACCGCGAGTCCAGGTTACTTTCGTTACCGGACGAACTCCTCCGCAACATCGCTCTTCATGTACCACAGGAGCACACGCAGCCCTTCCGGTTGAGCTGCGCGAAGTTCGAAAACCTTGTTCAGACACCACTTTGCTCTACTTGAGCCAATTCAGAAAATTTCCTTTGTCATTTTTGCATCGCGTCCGACGTTTGTCGAGATTGCAGTTATATACACCGCCCCGGAGAGGGAGCTAGAAGAGACGCCGCTTGGCACCATTGCATCAACGCATTTTCATTATTTTGCGCAACTTGTGTATTCGGTAGAGAGAGAGAGAGAGAGAGAGAGAACAGCATCGCGTCGCTTGAAGATAGACGGCCTGTCGAACTACATAATGCGTCGAACGAAGACGACATCAAGTAGATGTTGCCATCGACGTAAAGGATTGGGCAGGCGGGTGAGATTCAAGTGTGGTGTTGAGATGGAAATCCTTGGATACATAATATTTATTAATGTGAACCATTAGATGAGAGACAGGGTATACATTAGACGAGACACAGAGAGAGAGAGAAACATAAGAAAGGCATTACCATCAGTATCAAACTTCGTTCTTGCTTCACACCATCTCCTTCGCTTGTGGTCTCTGCTGATATGTCCTCCCGCTCTCGTAGATATCGTGTGAATGCACCGACTCCGTTACATCCACATTTGTCGTCACCGTGATGTTGCCCATCCCGCCACTTCCATGTGCTTTACTGTGTAGCCGAGTGTCGCTCTCTGTGCTTCCTCGCTCCCCGCTTGTTGAGCTTCCTCCGGAGGGGCTCCTCCTTAGGTCCCCAACTTGCTTTGTCGTCGCGTCGATTGTCGTGAGCATGTAAGACTTGCCAG